CCCTATGCCATCCGTTGTTGAGACCAATACCATATGCCATCCGTTTTTGAGACCACTATCATAAGCCATCCGTTGTTGAGGCCAATACCATATGCCATCCGTTGTTGACAACAATAATATACTGAACCGCAAAAGAAACATCACCTCAAGTAACATTCCATGAAAAGTTGTCGTTTAAATATCTGGGTAATTTGTGTCAAAGTTTCTAAAATTTAACATTACCTTGTCCGGAAAAATGAAATTTGATGATAAACAAACAAAGCAGATGACAATAAAACTGATCGCCCAAACGCATCACGGCAATGGCCATGGTAACCCGATGCACGTGAGTTCCATGAAAAAAGAAATGCACATGCGTTCCCCCATTTAAAAATCTACCCTGATCGAAAACATTCATTCGTTATTGAATTGCTACCACATGCCAAGATTGACAAGAAATCAGCGACAACAAGCCCTTGGACGATTGCAGGCTGCACAAACCGCCCGGCAAGTAGCCAAAGCATTTCAAGTCCACGTAAGGACCATATACAGGCTCCAGCAACGGTACCAGACCACCAACACTACAGATGACTGACTACGTAGAGGAAGACCAAGGTTCACCAACCGACTTCAGGATCGTCAGATTGTGCGACAGCATCTTCAAGATCGCTATGTTACTGCTGCGGAAACTGCTCCATCTCCACTGTCACAGGCCACACCGAGGACCCATTCCGACACCACGTCACCACGTCTTCGCCGGGACCGCCTTCACAGAGAGAGAGAGAGAGAGAGAGAGAGAGAGAGAGAGAGAGAGAGAGAGAGAGAGAGAGAGAGAGAGAGAGAGAGAGAGAGTCTGGCGACGCCGTGGGGGACGTTATTCGGATGCTTGTGTTGTTGAGAGAGACTGGTTGGGTGGTCCGTGCATCATGGTGTGGGGTGGAATTGGTCTTCCAGAACATCGGTCCAGGGAGAGGCAATGGTGTCACAGCAGCTCGGTACATTGATTAAGACTTGAGACCACACGCCATACCTCATTTGGCACGTCGCCGCAACCACGAGTTTCAGCATGATAACGCCCGTGCCCACACTGCGAGAGCAACACCAGACTTCCTCCAGCAGAATGGCATCGGAACCATGCAGTGGCCTGTCCTCAGTCCCGATTTAAATCCCATTGAGCACCTGTGGGACGAGATTCAAAGACGGCTGAATGACGTCCGACCAAGGCCGACTGAACTGCGTCAGGCGTTCCACAGAGTGTGGGCTCAAGTGCCTGTGGCCTTCATCAACCGCCTAATCGATTCTATGTATCGTCGCTGAACGGCAGTAATCAATGCACATGGCGGACACACGAGATACTGACTTGTGATGCCATTTTCTCAGAGACTAGTTTTGTGTTTCACTTTAAGAACATTTGACACTTTAATTTCAACCTTGATGATCAGTTTTGCCAAGTATATCTTTTTAATATGTTTCAAAGTATGTTTATAGTGTTTGGACAACTAAGGTTCCTCATATTTCTATCCATGGTGACGTTTCTTTTGCGGTTCAGTATATATTATATATGCCATTAAGATCCAGTATAAAACTGGTCTTTAGCAAGCCATGCTTGTAAGAGGCGACTAACGGGATCGGGTGGTCAGGCTCACTGGCCTGATTGATGCATGTAATCGTATCCCAGTTGCATTGATCGATGCTCATGATGTCAATCGCTCGACTGTCTGGTCCAGACACGATTATTTACAGACCATCTGTCGTTCATGACGTCACTTTGCTTCTTTGATGAGAACAATAACATATGCCATTTATGTTGATATTCACTCGTGTGAAGTTCATGAGAAATTGCTTGAAAAGCTCTCGAAAGGTCATGTACCCAATTAGTATTTCCTTTCTAAGCAATCTTCGGTACAGAGTTAAGAAAAACACATATTTTTGATTGTTTTGAGGAGATGTCACATTGCCACGCCTAAGAGACTATCACACTTAGCGAAACATAGGAATAGTTTGAATCTGGAACCATGCAGCGTGATCTCGTACGCCAACTGAACGTCCACAGGAACACTAAATTGCACTTACGGTGACGCTATGAACAGAACATCCACGCCAGAGACAGTCTCGTTGTAGCCGCCGACCGGTGACAACCCCTCTTCAGGAGGTACCAGATAGCATCTATCCCTGTACCGTCCATGGCAACAGATATACATCTGCAAAGACAGTCCGACGGCATCCGTCAAATCCTGATAGCAGATGATCAACACCTACGTCTGGAGTGCTGCAGATAACACTTGTGGTGGACAGCACGTCTGTTGAGAAGGGTGCATGGATGAATTAGTCTACAGGCGTCGAAGTGCATTTCATGTCACGCCACGCCATGTCAACTTGAATCAATCGGTTTGGGGTAGGTAGCGTTATGACCTGGGGCGGAGTGACGGCGTTATGACCTGGGGCGGAGTGACGGCGTTATGACCTGGGGCGGAGTGACGGCTACAGGTAGGACTGATGGGAATGTGAAAGCTGCGAGGTGCCGGGATACCGGCAGTTTTACCTTTTTTGAAACAGAACTGCCCTGGGGTGACATTGCAGTACGATGATGCCAGACCACATGTTGCTTGAGTTCTACAGCAGTATCTGACTCAGAACAATGTTAAAGTGCTACTCTGGCCTGAGTTATTCCCTGATCTGTCACAAATCGAACATTAATGGTTGAAATGGACCCACGTTTGCGACTTCTGCCAAATACCCCAACAACGTTGCATTAACTCCGGCTTATCCTTCTTCAGGTGTGGAATGCCATTCCCGAGGGCTTTCTTCATCATTTGGTGGCCTCAATGAGGGGAAGGTGTCAATACACAAGTTGACACAGTCGCTACTTACTGTTAACTTGTCTCTGAATCCTGAGGCCTGACATTACTCAATTGCTTATGGTAGGAACATTTACATTTGCACTTGCTCCAGACATGATGCAAATTTGCTCCTGGTTTAAATATACACACGAGTAATCGCGTTCACATGACAAGTATACTCACGTATGTATTTCCACACACGTATGCACATATACACACATATGTATAGAGGCGCATGTGAACGGGGTATTAGTTGTATTATCTCAATCAAATAAATAGAAGTTATCACGCGAGTGTGTTTGGGGATGGTAAATTTCCTGTATTAGGAATAAACGTATTTAGCGAGCCTGGGCGACGACAGTCGAGTGTAGTAAAAAATGAACGTTTGAGGTAACTTGATTAATAACGGGTCATGGCCCTACGATTGCTAAACATTTGTGTATGGTCTGAATCAATCTCTCAATTACAATTTGAGGGAGTCATGCCCGCTCCTCTTGCAGCGTCTGGCCAAGCTCGGCTGACATGGTGGGTGGCTTTCGAAGTCGACGTACACGTATCTCGATTATGTTCCAAACGTGGTCTATGATGGGAAACGTCAGGACTCAGGGCTGGCCATTGCATTTTGGTGATGTTTTACTGCTGGTAGTCAGTTACTATACCTGCACAATAGGTACCACTTAGCGTTATTGTTTCGAAAGACGTGAACCAGCATGGCGCGCAAACAGCACAACTATGACGCAAATTTTATATGTTGTTTCGGTGGCAATGTCCGTGGACATTATACAGTTGCGAGCTGGCAGTTATAGTGATTCTGCCGTATATAATTACAGACTCCCCCCCCCCCCCCCCCCCTCCCCCAACTCACATGTGTCATGTTACCTTACGTTGACGTCCGCATGGCGTTCGTTAGGTTGCCTCCAGACACGCCATGCCTATCATCTGAAAACATTACACGAGATCCAAAGTTCTAAGCTCTAACCACCATTGGCGTCTGGCTAGAATGTGTCGATTTGTTAATGGTGGTGTACCACGTGTTCTCCGAGCATGCTGACGATTTCCAATTGTCTGGTCGGTAATTTGAACTCAAGTTGCCAGGCACAAGTGAACAGACATTCCACTGGCTGTTTGGGCGAGATTTCTTAAAGTATGCTATTCTCATTAATCGATCCTTGTTTTGTCTTTGTATTGTTGACTTTGGGAGCCTCGTGTAGGGCCGATATGAATATTTTGTGTCAGAAACATATACCAAAGTCTACAATGCCTGAGATGAGACACATTGAACACATTAGCTCCTCTCGCGGGGTTCCACTAGTTTAAGGCATGCCCGTAGCCCTCAGAGATCAGCCATTTGGTCGTCTTGGGGGTGGGTGGGGGTTAGATTTTATTTTTAAAAAAAGAAAGTTTGACTATCACTAAAAATACATTGTTGCAAGGAGGTTTGTGTAAAGGAAATATTTCGATGTAATTAAAAACATTTGCTTTTGCTGATGCAGCTGTTCCATAGGCATTCATCATGGTGTACAGGACACCACATTATACTGCATTAAAGAAGAGTGAGTGAGTGAGTTGGGTTTAAAGCTGCTTTTAACAGTATTCCAGTTACATCATGGCTAAACATAATCTGGACTAACAGGTATTCAAACCCACAGCCATACGTGTCTGTAGTGCCCAAGGGAGGCAACTCTGCACAGTGAATTTATGGAGCCTCAGATGACTGGGCCCCTGCATTTGAGCAATGAGAGAGCTTACCCGTTACTGTGGATAATGAAAATCAACGATACTAATGTCTCTGTTATTAATGAAAATCAATGATTATAGCGGTCTGACGACCATTCACTGATGTGTAAATATCAAGAATGACCCCCTACCCAAGGCAGGGAGGAATTGCATGTCGACATGCAATGTTTCGGGTGTGTTAGGGCGTTAGGTTTGGGTTCTGAAACCATTCCATCTCTTGAAGTAATTTTTTAAAACTGATCTTTCTTCTGATGACCGATCATAACATTCATATTTAAAGATCCCCTACCTTTTTGAGAGTATATAAAAATGTAATGTTTTTAAAGAATGTTTTGAAAAATCTGGTGTGTGAGAGGAAGCAGAGCGTGAGAGCGTCTCCCCACAGGTAGTTGTCCACAGATCTGGTATTTGTTCACAAGTAAATGCACACATCCGACACAAGAATACATCTGAAAATATTTTTATTTGCTACAGTGTGTGAACTTTATTTTCCAATTAAAGAAAAGAAAATGTCTGAAAACCAAAATATAACTATTTACAAAAAATAACAAAGTCAACCACCTTAAGTGATGATAAACGATCTTGTTTCCGCAGTCTCTTGTTCATAGTACAACTACACATCTCTGTCCCCACCAGGTAATAGTCAGGCAGAAAACTACAAACTGTGGAATAACATGTCTGGTCTTAGGCAACTGTGTTGTGTCGAGTGTATTGGACACCTCGCTGCAACAGCACTCAACTAAACAACAGCAACATAGCACTATAGAAGTATGGACAGTATTTTGTGTTGTCTGTTTACTGCTTAACTGTGGCCTGGTCAGGACATGAACACCACTAGGAAGACGTCTTTGGTTCGCCTGCTCACATGTGTGAGATAGAGCAATGAGTTGTGAATTGACATGTGTAATGATTTCATGAAATAATTCACTGGAGGGTAGGATTGGAGATCACGATACAGCCGGGCTGTTAGAGCACCAAGAGAGGGCTGCGGTGGCCGGCCACTAGCCTAACGCAAGCCTGCGACAGAAGCCCACCTGTAGGAGAGGAGCTCTTAATCCACACCTGGTGGTCACTGAGGAATAACACGTCTTGGCTATAACCAAGAGGTTCATTAAAAAGACAATGTGGTTATTGAACAGAGCTACCATCAGGACCACTAGGACATTGATGAAGCCATGATATTGCACATATGCCCTCTGTTAGAGATGGCCTTAGAATAGTGGCAGCTTCTACATTAGTAATGAGCAATACACAAATTGCACTAACATACAAACATTGCAAAAAAAGCCAAAGACTGTTTGAATGTTTACTGGGGTTAGTTGTGACCACTGGCTTCAGATCAATTTGGAGAAAGAGCCCCTCTCCACTGACTGCTCTTATGTCCACCCCTATATTCCCTATATTAAGTCATGCACAAACTTAGGTAGGAATCTCTTTACCAAACAGGCATACACCACCCAGTGACAGATCATCTACTCATTTCACCATGGTGGTGATTATATTCTGAGATCAAGAAAGGAATACAGCGCTAGAACCCAGGCCAACTCGGGGGCCTATTGTCTATCTTAGGACATATACCGAAAATGGGAAAACTGAAACATTTTATCATACAAGTTTGTTTTAGAAGTAGTAAAAATACAAAAAAAGGCCAAAAACATATAGGTTTGTGATAGAATCGCACATCAGTTAATAAAAAGTTAAGACATTACAGTGGCAAAATGAGAACCATAGCTCAATAGAGACCCCAAGTTATTAGGAGCACCTCATCCTGGATTTCTAACACGAACATTGCAAATGCCCTTTCAAAAGTTTAGAGACCAACTCCTAGTCTTGATAATATGCTGTAATTGTGTGGATACATTAGAGACAATGCACGGAAGCTTACAAGATGACATTTCTTTAATCTAAACTCTGGCACAAATTATAAGCAGGCCAATGCAACAAGCATCTGTCCTTAGAGGGCATGATACTGACTAATGTTACCACTGAAGTACTGGAGTTAATGACAGACTAACAAAAACAAACAGACTATGTTTTACTTGTAAAAAGGTCTTTTTTTGTTCCACCTGTTAGCAGCTAATAGGAAATCCTGTGGTTTGAAAAAAGGTTGATGGCCAAAGGATGTTAAGTAACTCAGGATGGCTCTAGCATATACTCTAACAGGGCAAGATGGCAGCAAGCAAGCTTACACAGGAACTTTGCCAGCAGCCGATACTCAACTCAGATGCTCAATGCTCTGGAATGTAAGTGATTGCGCAAATTTGGATCCAATTGTAGCGTAATCATGAATTATAATGCCATCCCTGTGACCAAGAGCTGTGCAGGTATGTTATGTTGACAATGTGCAGTGATTACAGCAGTCTACATGTTAATGTGGAAAACAATCTTTAAATCCCAATCCCCAGTTTGTCCTTTGCTATACAGGAGGTTTCACACACAACTTTTGAATTATACTACATTTTACTGGGGATTCCCATTAATAATTTTATTCCAAGAGCAATTCAAAGAGTTCATTAAACGACATATTAAGGTGAATTAGTTTGAGGCATAAGTACTTCAGTTGTGAAATGAGTGTTGGGGACACTCCCATTCAGTGCAATTCTAGGTGGGCTCCAAAGACAGTTGGCCGATGTTAGGGCCTACCATGGTCAGTGAGCAAGGCTGGCAGGACACAAAGGAGGGAACTCCCTCATCAGACGGACTCCACACTTTACTTTGGGGGTGTTATACAGACTGAAAGAGTTAGCCGTGTGTATCATGGTGTGTGAGGGAGTCCATCCTCTACCCCCTACCAGCCACACTACACAAGAATCTGTGTTAAGCATGCATTAAGCAATAATCACACACACTAGGTTGGTTTCAGAATATATTTGTAATTTTAGTATTTATTTCAATCTGGCGAGAGTGTTTGACACATACATAGAGCTATGCAGACAGATACTAGAGAAGCCAAGTTTTGGTACAATGTAGCGGGCAGGGTGCTACTGAAGAGTAGCAAGAAGCAAGGTAGCAGAACTAGTGGAAGGTAGGTAGTATCGATGAGCGAACAAACATACTCCTGCTTGTGACCCTGGTACAATCTGTGCAGTGATGTACCTCCATACCTGTACGGAGAGAGAGTTATGTCAGTAAGTCCATCCCCTTCAGAACCTAGGTAGCAAGCACACATACCAAGCAGTGTCAAACTACTATCTTTCAAGATGATATTTCTGTTTTAGTTGCTCTGCAAAGGCGCTTCATTCAAATTAGCTGATCCGGGCGAACTGTTTGACAGTTCTTGGCAAACTAGCTCACACAAAGCTTACAAGCATTGGTGAAGGAACATTTCCGCTGGAGGCCAAACAGATCCAAAATACCTTGAAAGTCGAACATTTTATGTCCTTGCGTCACTGGCATCCAAAAAAATAAACAAGTTCATTGTTAATAACAATTATTTAACAGAGTGGCCCTGTGTGTTTTACACCCAGAGCCCTTGTATTCAATAGGAATTCAAACAACAGAGAAATAACAAAAAGAAAGTCTACAATGTACATATGATATCATGTGTCTCCACGGTGATGATGAGACAATCAGACAACAGTACATGGGTACAAACAGTGGAACAAGCTCCCCGCCACTCACAGACTCCAGAACATGAAGAACTGTACACCATCTTGTCAAATGTGGTATTCACTCCAGTTTCATCACATAACCTTTGCTTTAACCACTTTGACAAGAAAAAGAGCACCACGATTTATTGGAATCCATACATGTACATCTAAATCATTTGAATAATGTCAAAATGGGACCACATTAAATATTTCGCTGGATCGTGGATCGGTGGAGTGCCCTCAGAGGGCCGTGGAGATGAATGACAGAACACTCGGCACACGATGTTGTCATATCACCGTGGCAACACTGTATCTCATGACTTTTCTTGTCTCAAAACTTAGTATTGCCATAGTAATATATGGTTAGCTACTACAATGATGAACCGTACCCATGGAATTACATACATAGTAAAACTACAATGAACTGTATCCATGGTGATACGTACAGTACAACTACAATGATTGTATCAATGGTGATACATACAGAAAAACTACAATGATTTGTATCCATGTGATACATACAGATTACAACTACAATGATTCATATCCATAGTGATACGATTGGGTACAACTACAAAATACATATGGTATCACAAATACTAGTATAACTGTTGGTACATTGGGATATTTAACCTATATGACACTGATATCTAAAACTCAACACTGAAATATGCTCATAAAATGTCAGATGAAAATAAAATATATCAATTTCTGTACCCTTGGAAAGACATACTTTCCAAAATAAACACATTTTAACTGTGTGTCCCTTTTAATAAAAAGCTAATAACATAAAACTCACAAAACTACACACTCAGGTTTTAAAAATCTGGCTTTTGGATAAAAACAGAAAGACAAAAAAGTTTTATTGGAACTGCTCGAATCCATTCCAAGCTGTAACACAGTGAGCCATGCCAGCCTCTTGGAGACTTGTGGCACATCATGTGGTCAGGGCACAGCAGCAGCCAACATTTCATGTTTAGTATTTCTCCCAGAAACAAAGAGAATAAGTTTTTTTCTATAAAAAAACAACAACTTTTGAAGTTGATATGTATGTAATGTCCCTCCAAAAAGATCACCGTGTGAACACTGTTGCTAGAAATATGTACAAACTTTATCACCTCAGGTATATAAGGACACATGGAAGAGGTCATGACCTTCACACATGTAAAAGTCATGGCCTTCACCTTCCAGACATCTTTGGAAAGTTCAATGGCATTGTACGTATACAGTTTACTGTAAACCATTTCATTTTCATACAGTTATAACTTAACAAAACCTAAATGTACCGTCTTGACATGAGTCAATGTTATAATATGGGTCTGTACTAAAAGGAGGCCTTAGTTAATAGGAAATATCCAAGTATCAGGCAGTTTCGTCTTGTAATAAATGTATGAAAATCAATCTTGTACGCAAATCACATGGCTTACAGTAGTAAATTTGGTTTTGTTTTAGAAATATGTATTACATAAAACAAACGACACTCAATAACAATTCTAAAAGTATGATTATATTAGATACTTTAAGAGCACCCAGCACTATTTCGTTAATAAGGTGTGCTCTAACAGCATCTAACACTATACATGCACCTTTCTTAAGTTGACAGGGTTCTGGAAATGTAAATAACATACTACTATACCATCGTCATGGTGACGACAAACCAATAAACTACCACCAAGATATAGAACCAGTAACAGTAGAAGGAACAGAGGCCTTCCAATCACCTGGTTTGAACACAACAGTCCAAACCAGTGGCTGCAAACCCTTGAGAGGGGCAGTCCAGTCTTATGGCACATGGAGACATTCAAATGACACAATTCTAAAATCTTATCAATATGTAGGTAGGTGTACACCACCAGTTTACTAGAACCCAGCACAACACAAGTAAAACATTTTACATCACAATTTGCACTTAAAATCTGGTATCAAATTTGGTGTGAGCAGTACATTGAAGCAAGGTTTTCTTTTGATTGGTTTGCAACCTGTACCTGAAGGTAGGCATTGAGACTCAAGGAGAGAAACGAGACATCTAAAACAAAGAACTCTTAGAACTGAAAACCAGGTCTGAGAGATGCACCAGAGGTGTCTCCTTGGATCCCAGTGCTGGCCGCCAGGCTAGATGCATCACCACCCTTCTTCTACACAGCCTACATATCACTTCAGATTTTCCATTCATTTTGATTTAAATCAAACTTTGAATTATATGAACTTTTGGAAGGGTAAATCTTGATGATACCTACAAACGCTGTCCCTGTGATGCATCTAGCAGTGCTAACCGACAGACACAGGTGCCAGCCGTAACGTGTGGCCTGGATCATGGTGTAGTATTACCAGCAGGCAAGGGATGGTAAAGCTTGCCAGAAAGTCATCTACTTTAGCTTTCACAAGCAAAATATTAAAAAGACAGTTTCAAGCAAGCTTTGATCATATAATTTCTCAGAAAGCTTTGTGCATCTGCCAACAAAGGTTTTGATAAATATTTTCAAAAACTATCTTCACACAGCTATTGTGACAATGAAAAATTAATAAAATATCCTTGAGCTAAAACTCAATAGTTAAACAAAACAGATTTCTATTGTTTAGTGCTCATAAAATAAGAAAAGCATAACAACAATGGTTTTGAATGAAGAAAATCTGTGCTTTTCCATCTTTGCCCACAACTGGACATAAGCTGGCTATCCTGTTTTGGCCCATCCAGGAGTACAACACAGCATGGACATTTATCAGACCAACTGACTGGACTGAAACACTAAGTAGAGACCATCATGCTTGAGACATTTTGCCCTTCTCATCAAAGTCCGAGCTAGCCCCTGGGTCAGACAGGCAGACCTATGAGGCTGGCAGAATTACGGGAATATGGTAATACTTGCACAGAGGGCGCTGGCACTTGCCACGTACAGAATCGCGACAAACTGTCACATGGCCATCCATCACTTCAACGTATTCTGAAAACAAACAATTAGAGCGTTGTAAGAGAGTGATACATACCTATCAAACATGCTTACATAAACGCATTCCTACTGACAGTCTACAGAGAAACATCACATAAAAGTGGTGCTAGAATGGTGACTTACCCTCTAGAAGATGCACATACTTGCATTGCGGCCGGTCACACTGGCCGGACTTAAAATCTCGGCACACTGGGAGGGTGTCCCGCAACTGGAAGTGAAGAACAGGTGACATTGAGGACACATGCACCCAGCTACAGGGCCAACACTATATCCTAGAGAGGAGCATACACATACTACATTATAAGCATACATAGAAAATAACATTGTGTTCAAATGAACTGAGCAGTGTGTTAATCAGATTAGACTACATATATTGAACAGTAAATATTTATACAGCTCCTTAGATTCATGTCATTTACACATTCAGGTAACGGCTAAGGTAAAGCTAATGACAGGATACAAGACAACCAGTCTTCATGCATTTAACAACATTTATCAATATTTGTATTTGCACAATGCAGAGGCTAAAGTGGCATGTGTGAGGATGGCGCCATGCTTTGGTGTGAGTGTAATGGCCTGTATTGTACAATATGGAAGTAGTTAGCTGACAGGCAGTTCTTGTGTTGTTACACCTTGTGTCATATCTAGTGTGAAGAAATGAGAGAACAGAATTCACCTTGACCCAAACACCATTATTAGTCAAGGTTAAATGCCACATATTTAAATGAGAGAAATTCAATCCCATTCATTGTGTGTTTGTCTAGGATTCTGTACACAAGCATTTTGTTGAGATAAGCAACTTGGTGCTGCATGTCTGCCGGTAGATGGAAGCATGTGAGCTAGCTCTGCGAGGAGCAGGATGCAAGAGCGGACTCACGTGTTACATCTGCCACTTGTTGTGATGTCAAATGCCCTGAATTTGGAACAAAGATTCAATAAATGTTCTCTTGTAAACTGAGAAAAGTCCTCCTACTATGAGCATTATGAAGCAACATAATACAGCCGGGCACACTGACAAGCTCGGAGAGTTCGGGGCAAGCAGAGTGTCGGATTCCTTTGACTGGTCCATACACAGGGGGAGACAGAAGGACTCAAGGGGTATTACATCTTCAGAAAGGATGTACCTAGTTTGTTATTTTCAAATATATTTGTTTAAAATCTTGTATAAATGAACTACTTCTTTGACAAAGGAAATGTTACTGTTCAAAACAGCTGAATGAACAGCTGTGCAAGAGTGTGTTAGTAGGATGGTGCATCACAGTGAAAGTATGTGTTAGTATGTTAGTTTTGTGATCAGTACAGCTGCAAGGGTGTACGTCTATGACAGCTCCATGTGTGTGGGTGTTGCTAAGACAGCTCCATGTGTGTGGGTGTTGCTGAGACAGCTGCATGTGTGTGGATGTTGCTAAGACAGCTGCATGTGTGTAGGTGTTGCTAAGACAGCTCCGTGTGTGTGGGTGTTGCTAAGACAGCTGCATGTGTGTGGGTGTTGCCAAGACAGCTGCATGTGTGTGGGTGTTGCTAAGACAGCTCCGTGTGTGTGGGTGTTGCTAAGACAGCTGCATGTGTGTGGGTGTTGCCAAGACAGCTCCATGTGTGTAGGTGTTGCTAAGACAGCTCCGTGTGTGTTGGTGTTGCTAAGACAGCTGCTTGTGTGTGGGTGTTGCCAAGACAGCTCTGTGTGTATATGTGTTGCTAAGACAGCTGCATGTGTGTGGGTGTTGCGAAGACAGCTGCATGTGTGTGGGTGTTGCCAAGACAGCTACGTGTGTGTGGGTGTTGCTAAGACAGCTGCATGTGTGTGGGTGTTGCTAAGACAGCTCCATGTGTGTAGGTGTTGCTAAGACAGCTGCTTGTGTGTTGGTGTTGCTGAGACAGCTCCATGTGTGTGGGTGTTGCTAAGACAGCTGCTTGTGTTTGGGTGTTGCCAAGACAGCTCCATGTGTGTTGGTGTTGCTAAGACAGCTGCTTGTGTGTGGGTGTTGCTAAGACAGCTCCGTGTGTGTTGGTGTTGCTAAGACAGCTGCTTGTGTGTGGGGGTTGCCAAGACAGCTGCATGTGTGTGGGTGTTGCTAAGACAGCTGCTTGTGTGTGGGTGTTGCCAAGACAGCTGGATGTGTGTGGGTGTTGCTAAGACAGCTGCGTGTGTGTGGGTGTTGCCAAGACAGCTGGATGTGTGTGGGTGTTGCCAAGACAGCTGCTTGTGTGTGGGTGTTGCCAAGACAGCTGCTTGTGTGTGGGTGTCTTGCTAAGACAGCTGGATGTGTGTGGGTGTTGCTAAGACACAGGTTTTACAAGAAAGGAATTCTTATTCATTTGTGTTGGAAACTGTGTGCATATCTGAAGGTATAATAACATTTCTTTCACTTCATTTCTCTGTGAGCATAATGTTCCCTGTATCATTCATATCTACCAATATGTGTATTTAGAAAGTGACAACTACAAATTCCCAAACCTTGCCCCTAACAAGCATTTTGTGACACAGTAGTATTGTCAGATGAAGGAGATATTATACTTAAACAAAAAAGAAAACAAATCAAATCCCCTGACACTTGTGTTTCCAGGGCAGAATGGATTCCCAGTAACCCTGTGATTGTTGAGAGAACAAATCCAAATAGCGGTTGTAAAATGTGCCAGCTGGCTGATTGTGTGTTATCATGAAGTTGTTCATGGCTACTGTCAGTGAACCTCAGAGGCCATCATGATAGATCACTGTAATACCACTGTGGAAACACTCACTCACTTCATTCAACAAGGTATGATGAGGACCAAAATGGTTGACTAGATCTACATAGTTCAAGAAATGAGGGACGCTTTACAACAAATCACACATGTTCATATGAACATATGAAGAAATGAAACTGGTTATTTTTAACGCAAGTAGGTTTTAAAGTAAAATTGACTTTAGAGGTTTTGATGAAAGGAATCTGCATGCATTGTACAAACACACAGGAATTAGGTACAAGTCAATAAATACCAGTAATATACATAGCTTCTGTAGTCATTATCATGTGACTAGGTCTTTAAGTCCTTCCAACACACTTTCTAAGTCTTTCCAAACACCCTGAATACCTGAACCTCTTTCACTGAGGAGATGATGAACTACCACAAATGCTGAAGTAACTCAGATTTGACATCCTCAAACAAGTACTCCCACTTGATGTAGAGAAGTGTGCAAGTTGAGAATTGTAAAGTATTAACATGATGGATGTTATCAACTCCTTTCTGTTGTGTGTATGTATTTGTTGACTACTGGTTACCGTGTAGATTAGTGCTTTTAGCAGGTGATTAGATAGCTACCTGTTTATTGTCATCAAAGTACATGACACTAGCTGCATTAGAGGGGATTGGACAAGCAGGGGCCGCCACCACAGCCTCGGCTGGGGCAACAACCAGCGGATCTGTCAATCAAAGGTTGCCATGGCAACATAATGCAAATTGTGCAGGTGAAGCAGACACATGCAGAATGGCAAGAAGCACACAGGTTTGTGTAGTCAGCATGAAACAGAACAAAAATGATAAAATAACAAAATGGTGTTATGGTCTACACATGCATCCTGATCACACCTGTCTCCAGCACAACAGTGGCTCCGTGCAAGGATGGAACAAACAACATACAGTTATATCTCTGTTTATGTTTTTTAGAAGAGAGACTGCCGTGGCTCAGACAGGTGTGATGAAGATGATGACAGTGATTACAAGTCAGGTGAATGGACCACATCAGTCTTGGACAAATACATACATAGCCAGACTCTCCCCAAAATTCCCAATATATAGTGCAAAGGAATGTTTGAAACTGACTGGAAACAGAATTTTTACAAGCTCAAATTACAAATATTTTGTTTATTTAATTGCAATAACCAACATTGTGGGTGATAAACAAACATGCACACAAACCAGTAAATAACCTGACTTAAAGCATGTTTGTGGAAAATGTAGTCTAATAATGTCCTAACTGGTCATGTGAATTATTTTTTAGCTTCTTTTTGTTAGATAGGTGCCCATTTTTAAGATTGAAGAAAAAGCAGGAATACAAATGTGTAGACCTTTCTTCATTAGCTTTGACTTATTTATGAGCATACCATGAATTTGGAAATTATTTGATTCTGATTGGTCAGATAGAGGTATCTAATCACATTAACCACCTCTGATTGAAACAGCCACTTAGATGGCTGCATCACAGCAAATATTTTTAGAAAAGCATTTTGTCATTTTAAAGTAATCATATGTACAATTATAGGTTACAAATGAGTTGCAGTTACTACAATATTCAAAATATCTGTGACAATAAATTATGTTCAGAAAACACTATAAACGTGAAATAAAAGAGTGTAATTAAGAAAACTTGAGATTTGGCACTTTTCGGTAGCTGACTGTTACATCGTACCTTCTGCGTCACAATGAGTGGAGTAGGGACTAAACATTGCAAGGCTTGCTTCAGTTTCGGGGGCCCACGTCATGCTGGCTTATGAAGTAGTTGTGCTACACACTTTCAATGCCTCTCATATAAAGTATACTAGTGACAACAAACAAAGGGAACTGATGAAATGACAGGGAAAATGTAATGATGATAAATGTCTGTAAAATTAATTCTGCTTGACATTCTGACCTCCAACAATAGTGACAAATCAATTGTATCAAATAAATCCACATTAAAAAAGTAGTTTTCTCTAAAGAAAATAGAATCTCAAGAAATGTGAACTTAAACCCACATGTCACTCTAAAAAGTTACCAGTGTCATTAAATAAGGTGTCTGAAAGCCAATTTGGTGTAGAATATCTATTACCTATTGAGTTGGTCATGACCCAGAATCTCCTGTGGAGGAGACTTGAGTTCTCACTACTCAGCAGAAATGGACATTTGTCAAAATGCTTCCACACAAATGTTTTCTTAATTATGTGCACATGTTGATATTTTAGCCTGTGACTTTCATAAAGTATGTTGTATGCCAGTTTTAGATGTAAGGCACACAGCACACAGGCACCTGACTCCAAGACTGATGTGGGCTATTTTAGTCAATATTTAAAGCGAGACATTACATAAATACCAGTGAGCAAAATAAGTGTTAATGGATAAATTAAACGTATACCATATCCCCGAAGCACTATTATTCAACTATATTAGAAACAAATATATGTTAGTGCCAACTTGGCTTTTCTATACAGTGTCAACCATCTGATGCTTGCATGTCTAGAGAGGGTGCTTCATTCAAATGACAGTGAAATAGTGAAATAGTTTAAAGCTGTCCATATTTTTCAGCTTTTTAAATTATTCATAAATTAAAAATCCCTTAACCCTCCTCCCACAATCTGATCAAGTGTGTACTACACGGTGCACCATAACACATAAATCATGACTTCCATTGTTAAATCCCCTGTGAAGCAGGGTGGAGAAGCGCACACAGAGATCTGTGCTGAAGGATGTTGTGCACACTGTCTGGAGATCTTTCACATGCAAGCATTTAGAGGTGTCAACAAAAACCAAAAAGAATGAAACAAAACAGAAATGTCAGTGACTGATGCACACTGAAAAGTTCATGCTCCAGTTGCCACTACCATCAAGACTATGGGTCTAGTTCCCATTCAGAGAGGATATCGGGGTGAGACGGGAGTATGACAACATAGAATGATGCAACTCTGCTCACATCACATATACACAGCAGTTCACCACTCCATGCTTTCTCAAGTTCCATTTTATTTATTACTGTATGATTCTGAGCCACTGCATGGGTGACTGGTACAGATCTGGGCCACATGTGCAGAGAAGCTGACAGACTGCCATGACCACTGTGTATTGTCAAGCAGAGGCAGTGCATGCATTGGTAGTTATATCACACAGATATACACAAAATACACCATACATTCCAATATTACTAGCATGTAATGTGTGAGCTAGCCAAGACGGCGGTGGTGGCCAAGTGGTGAGAAAAAGTAGACTTACACGTGACTGGTATATATGGTTGTTGTCCTAGCTGCATAAGGGCGGCATGTTGATATGCTCCTATAGCACTAGGCTGGTACGTCATGGGAAATCCGCTCTTAGCATCCGTCATCGCCATCCGTTTGTAAGGGGGCACAACTCCAGGGATGGCACCCTATGGGTGGCAGAGAGGACAAAAATGATTGGCCCAAAGCAAAGCAGGTGTAGGGAAATTATCATACATAAACATAAACAACAGATAGACAGCACATTATTTCTCTTGGAATGACTTGAAAGAATAGAAGAAGACAGATCAAGTAACTCAACCGACAGATCAGACATAGTGTTAAAATTAGCTTCTTCAATTGCTTTACAGAAAAAACCTCTTGAGCATTTCTAAGATTAATATTAAAGAGCTTGAAGCATCTACAAGACCAGTAGACTGGGCTAAATATCATCATTGAGGAACATTCTAGACTAGGGGACATTTGCTACTTGAGGGGAAAACTAAGACAGCTGTATAAATCACATTCGCTTCAATACCAATACTCTACTTATAGACAGATAGAGAAATATCTTTACATTGATTGGCTATCAAATTGATGTTGCAGAATCACATGACCACGGATAGATTACAACCCCTGTCCCAATTTGATAGACAAGAGTTTCAAACTGGGTGTCCTCCAGTCAGAAGCTGCCATGCAGTAGCCTGCGTGTACTGTGATGCTTGTGAGAATACTGCCAGACAATTTGGATCACGAATGAAAGGAAAATGAAATTAATTCTACAGAAAGCAAGATATGTCACTTTGTGTGTCATGTGACTGTGCAAACAATCTCTTAAAGCTTTCTACAGCTACATGCAAAGCATGATGGGAAATAGTACCAGAACAAGATCGTCTGTAGGGTCACGAGGTCGCTTCTTGCCCGCGGTCAAGACCTCAACCACTTGCGGCTAATTAGTATGCAGAGCACATGATGGCAATTGGCCAATGAAATGGCGGCATGGCAGGGATGGCGGCACATGACAACAGCAAGCAGCAAGGCATGTTGGGTGATGAAAATAAAAAAGGCACCGTCGGTCAAGATTGATACCATGCATATAAATACTCAATGTTATCTTTACAAAAAGCTTTAGAGAGAGAGACATACATCATGCCTTTATTCCAGTAAAGGAAAAGTCCTTCCCCATAATTTGAAATTAAAATATAGGTAAGTGTTTGGATAGATGCCAAGTGCTTGAGTTGTTATTATCAACAACGTGAGTAGAACCCTTAGAAGAAGACAGAGTGCCAAAATTAATAATTCATGCATATAACAAAAATTAGAAATAAAACACTTTCAGTAAAGAGTCAACCCAAAGCAAAGAGTAAGGTTTGTCTATGTGATGCTCATCAGAACATACAGAAAGCTCTCATTTATTTTGTGGGTGTGTAAGTTCAATTTGCTAAACCCTGCTGCATTTCTAGTCAAATAAGAAAAATCTGCAACAGAAGAGAATTAAACCATCAAAGCTGAAAAACAAAATGATAATGTATTTTTACAAGAGCTATCATATTAAACTATATATTCTTGTTGCAATGGCAACCATTGTTGAGCATGTCATGATTTTTAGTGTAGCAGACAAAGTGCTGTAACTATGGGGAGGTTACTACAGTTTGTCTGTTCAACTAGGAAACATACCTTTACTCCAAAATATTTGAGGTTGATCATCCCTCGTTGAAGGAGAAATTTTCCATCAGATTAGTTTAAATTTATTGAAGAATTTTGATTGAGCTTGTCCTTGGGTTTTCGAAATAATAAAGGACAAAGCTTGAAGCTGATTGCAGTGTTCGGATAGCAAGTCGCATGTGTCATGTATGTGCGTGGATTGGTATATATTAGCACGTACGTACAACCAAGCGATACACCAAACGTTCACATGCAGTTTGGGTCACTGACTTGATTTGCTGAAATTTACTAATATCACCCCCTGTTGAAACTCTTAACGCTGTAACAGTCGAACATTTCGCTTCTAATTGTTTACAGAAATTAGCCATCCATTTAGTATGTACACGTGTTTCGTGTAAATGTTACGAAGATGGTTTGTGGCAGACTACGGTGTTGCTGTGAGGGCATCGTCTGGGGCTCCCAGCGCAGGTATTTACAGCTTGTACATTGGAGCTTGCGGATAGACGGACGATGGATGGATGTGGTCTGTATACGGGTTGGAGTGGCAGATTTGTGGATTGAAGTAGCAGGAGACAGAGCAATACCAGCAGACATGGACAGCAGGTAGCTAACGACATCAACGTTGGCTGGTCCTCTCTGTATGATATCTGAGCTAACCAGCAAGCCCCTAGCAGGATCTCAGACAGTGGTGTCATAGAGGTGAGTGACTAAAGGCGGCGGAGAGTGGTTGCGACTACAACAGGCGGGCGGGCGGGCGGGCGGTCAAGCTTGCACAATGCAGTGTTAGAGTCTAAATAGGTAGAGAGAGAGGGTGTGCTGGCTGACTCCCGGCCCACATCAAATAAAGTGTGGAGGTAGTGTAGTAGTGCCACGCTCAAACTAAACAAAAAACTATCAGCGTTTTTCAGCAAGGGGATGATGGATGGACTGACGGATGTCATATCAGGGAATGCAGCTTTCAAGTGGAGTGACCCAGCATTAGAATCTTAGGTATCTTGATGCAACCATTACAAAAAAGATTTGATACATCAGTAATTCGATGCTTTCTTCTTAATGATGATTATAAATGACAATGCCCAAGGGAAATGAATCTATTATGAGTACTTTCACATCCTTTGTAATAGATTGCATCAGATTCCCATGTATCAGGTCTAGCAATAAATAATAAGGTAGTAAAGTAAGACTCAACAAGCATAGTATGCAAGGTACTGATAGAGTGTGACTACAGACACCAGACAGCAGAGGACGGACAGATGGACGGACAGAGGAAGGAGTAAGCTGACAGACAGGTAACAGACTGACAGACAGACAGACTGTATAAGTGTGAAGTAAGCAGACGGTAGCCCTACCAGCTGAGTCTGGGTCGGGGCGTTCTGCGCAGCGACAGCGTTTGCCCGTTGTTGAGCGGCCTTAATCTGGGCCTGAAGGTGGGCCGGAGGGTGAAAATATCTACACGAATCCCGCGTACACTTCCCCTTTATGAAATCCATACACACCGTTACATGGTTGTCGGATTGGTCGACTGTTACATTGTCAGGAGGGTGAGCAAAGCGACATTCGCTAGGTTGTCGCGTGCATGTACCTCTTTGAAATTCACGACATACCTGAAATGAATGTAGAAAAGCAGAAAAAGGCATATGTTAGTACTTGCAGATGGAGCTTGGGGTGCCCCTTGAGCAACTAAAATAGCTAGCTTTGACATATGTCAGAGAGAGAAAGCAAACCAATTTACAGGAGAGAGGTGAACTAGTTTAGAATGTGCTAAAGTCTAGAAATAGTGGCTAGGGAAGCACTACATAGTTACCGTTGTTGTGACAACACACGTGGAACTAGCAGCAGTGACCATGTTAAGTCCAGCTTGTGGACATTAGGGTTACCTGCCCCTGATAAAAGCTTGTTGTAGCATATGTAAATTTAGTGCAGATGTGTGCAGTGAATTGTGAATAGAACTGTACACAAGCTGTCTAAAGCTTTAAATAAGATAGCATATTTAAATAGCCAAAGTGAAATACCCACAACCCTTTACCATGAATATTTTGTCAGTCTTTCCAATGACATTAATGATGTCTCTCTTTCAAGATGATACAAGTGTACCATTACTCATCATTCATCTATTCTAACTGGGAATTACGTCATCTGCTCAACTGATCAATTTTCTTTACTGTACATGGAGGAGTGAGTGATATTAAACTTGTATGATATTGTCTGAATTACAGAGCAAGTATGAAAACTCAGTGGTTACTAAGTGGTAATTGTGGCTAGGGAAGACACTTGGGTTCTCCTTGTCTGAATGCTCGCCTTGTCTGAATGTGAGGGTACAGAGCCGAGCCAGGCCCAGCCCACTGTACTTTCTGGGAGGCAACACTTCCGCACTGTGCTCCACAGACAGAAACAACACAGAAATGTATTCATGTCAATACTACAGGAATCAACATTTCAACATACTTACACATATCTGACCACGTCGTGATAATGTTTTGCTGTGAAATTCTAATCTTGTTTCCTATCATATGACATTTGGGGAATGCATTAGGTACAACCAAAGATACTACTTGAGGGTGGGTCAGCATCCTCTAGCAAGATGACAGAGCATATACCAGGCCCTTGCATACAAAGCATCCAGGAGAAGGAAATAAACAAATGTAGAGAGAGCTGACCTACATCTAAAAAGAAGCATTTGAGAGATGGAAGCATATTGCAGCAGAGTGCCTTCCCTTTCCAGAACACTTCAGACTAAGGCATATAAATGTAAGGACAAGCTTATACTTTCAAACGGTGCCATCCCAGCAAGTATCTACAAAAGTGGGTTCCCATGTACCTAGGTACATCATCCAAGCACACCGGGATGGGGGGGGGGGGAGACAGGAGGAGCTGGGGAGGACCTACCTCAAGCCTATCGGGGCGGGCTACCTTCTGCTGGCTGCTAGCTTGTATGGGTGTGGGAATGACACCTGGGATCTGCTGCGTGACCACCGTGGCTTCACTACCAGTCCCTGGCACAGCCATTGTTCCAGGCATGGACGCATTTAGGTACGGATTGAAGGCTGCCACAGCTGATGTTGGTGCAGAACTCATGTATGGCGGGGCCTGAAACATCAACATACACACACATATGCAAACAGTACTGCTGAGAAACAAGTGGACAGAGTAACAACAGTTTCTATACTTGAATAGGTCTACATAGTCATTCAAGGAAAACACTGCTAATTCCGTGCTACCGGAGGTTTGAATGCTGCTGCATTGCTGGCCCGATAGAGAAATATCAGTTGTGCATCATTATCATCAGCAATTCTGCTTTTCATGGACTCAAAAAGGACAGATAAATAATCTTATCTGAATGTATAACTGAATAGTTTCTGACATGTCCCATCAACATATCCTTTCAACTTCCTTTTCAATATTCTTATACCTATGAAAAACCATTAAATATAGTGTATACTACAGCAGCAGCACCATCAACATACTACAAGCAACTCTGGAAGAGAGACGTTTCATCATTTGTCATGTGGGCCTTGTTCAACAAGGGCACATAATAGCTTAATTCATCTAGTCATTATGGCAACAAAAGCAATCAAATTCATTATCTAAAGAAACAAAGCATCTATCTGTTCTAAGCAAATGCTAAGCAAGCTTTAAGATTAAGAAAAGCATAGGGAGTGATGGAAGATCTTGTGTGTCGTATGCATTCTGAGTACAGTCCAGTCGATATACAGATATCTCTGGGGAGTATACTGGCAACAGAAAGTTGGGACATGATGATATGATGGCTGTGGGAACAGACGCAGCAGATGGGCAGACACACACAAGATCTTCCCCCTTCAGTGACTGCATGCAGATGGCAGTACTATGAAGGGTGCGTGAATAATGTAAGAATATTACCACTGACCATAAGGGGGTAATGTCCGGTGGGCAGAACTGTGGAATACGCCACGGCTTTGTTCCCGGCCTCAAACATTGAAATAAAAAGAAAAATATTCATGCAGACTAATTAGTATTGGTGTGCAAAATGTTAGAGTCCAGTGCAGCTGTAGCTGGGGGGGTCAAAACACTTGCCATCTCCAAGACAATCAGTGAGACGAGCTAGACATTGACAATCTCCAAGACAATCAGTGAGACGAGCTAGACATTGACAATCTCCAAGACAATCAGTGAGACGAGCTAGACATTGACAATCTCCAAGACAATCAGTGAGACTAGCTAGACATTGACAATCTCCAAGACAATCAGTGAGACTAGCTAGACATTGACAATCTCCAAGACAATCAGTGAGACTAGCTAGACATTGACAATCTCCAAGACAATCAGTGAGACTAGCTAGACATTGACAATCTCCAAGACAATCAGTGAGACTAGCTAGACATTGACAATCTCCAAGACAATCAGTGAGACTAGCTAGACATTGACAATCTCCAAGACAATCAGTGAGACTAGCTAGACACTGACTATCTCTGGTATAGTCTGCAAGACTAGCTAGACACTGACTATCTCTGGTATAGTCTGCAAGACTAGCCTGGCACTTACTATCACTGGTATAGTCTGCAAGACTAACCTAACACTGACTATCTCTGGTATAGTCTGCAAGACTAGCTAGACACTGACTATCTCTGGTATAGTCTGCAAGACTAGCCTGGCACTTACTATCTCTGGTATAGTCTGCAAGACTAGCTAGACACTGACTATCTCTGGTATAGTCTGCAAGACTAGCTAGACACTGACTATCTCTGGTATAGTCTGCAAGACTAGCCTAACACTGACTATCTCTGGTATAGTCTGCAAGACTAGCTAGACACTGACTATCTCTGGTATAGTCTGCAAGACTAGCCTGGCACTTACTATCACTGGTATAGTCTGCAAGACTAACCTAACACTGACTATCTCTGGTATAGTCTGCAAGACTAGCTAGACACTGACTATCTCTGGTATAGTCTGCAAGACTAGCCTAACACTGACTATCTCTGGTATAGTCTGCAAGACTAGCCTGGCACTTACTATCACTGGTATAGTCTGCAAGACTAACCTAACACTGACTATCTCTGGTATAGTCTGCAAGACTAGCCTGGCACTTACTATCACTGGTATAGTCTGCAAGACTAGCCTAACACTGACTATCTCTGGTATAGTCTGCAAGACTAGCCTGGCACTTACTATCACTGGTATAGTCTGCAAGACTAGCCTAACACTGACTATCTCTGGTATAGTCTGCAAGACTAGCCTGGCACTTACTATCACTGGTATAGTCTGCAAGACTAGCCTAACACTGACTATCTCTGGTATAGTCTGCAAGACTAGCCTGGCACTTACTATCACTGGTATAGTCTGCAAGACTAGCCTAACACTGACTATCTCTGGTATAGTCTGCAAGACTAGCCTGGCACTTACTATCACTGGTATAGTCTGCAAGACTAGCCTAACACTGACTATCTCTGGTATAGTCTGCAAGACTAGCCTGGCACTTACTATCTCTGGTATAGTCTGCAAGACTAGCCTGGCACTTACTATCTCTGGTATAGTCTGCAAGACTAGCCTGGCACTTACTATCTCTGGTATAGTCTGCAAGACTAGCCTGGCACTTACTATCTCTGGTATAGTCTGCAAGACTAGCCTGGCACTTACTATCTCTGGTATAGTCTGCAAGACTAGCCTGGCACTTACTATCACTGGTATAGTCTGCAAGACTAGCCTAACACTGACTATCTCTGGTATAGTCTGCAAGACTAGCCTGGCACTTACTATCTCTGGTATAGTCTGCAAGACTAGCTAGACACTGACTATCACTGGTATAGTCTGCAAGACTAGCTAGACACCGACTATCTCTGGTATAGTCTGCAAGACTAGCCTGGCACTTACTATCTCTGGTATAGTCTGCAAGACTAGCCTGGCACTGACTATCTCTGGTATAGTCTGCAAGACTAACCTAACACTGACTATCTCTGGTATAGTCTGCAAGACTAGCCTGGCACTTACTATCACTGGTATAGTCTGCAACTATGACACTGACTATCACTGACTATTCAAGGATGGGCTGTTAGGCACGTCAGACACTGTGACAATTCACATTATTGTGTTATTTATAATGCTCAATCATTGATACAGTGATTCCTCGATATACAACTGCCATCGGGGAACAAGATCCTGACCATGCGTTCTAGGAAAGAGCATAGTGGCCGGTGTGGTGTGGAAATACACGCAATAGAAATAGCCTATTATTATTATTATTATTAGGGCTCCAAGCCGAAAGTCTGGAAGCCCTATTGTAATCGGCCGATTTATTGTTTATTAGGGCTCCAAGCCGAAAGGCTGTAGAGCCCTATTGTAATCGTTCGATTTATTATTATTATCATTATTTATTATTATTTATTATTCCGCTGATTTTTGTACCAGACCTAGCAAAATAACCACTGGCTCGATTTGTTCAAATTTTGTGTGTGTTTGTAGACCGTTGGGTGCTAGTGCTCGCCAAAAAGCAAAGGCCGTAGGCCCAAAGGCCAAGGGCAGATAACTGAAAAACAAGTATTTTTTGATGATATATTTTGCCCTGCTGCTCCATAACTGCTTGTCCGATTACTTTCATATCTTGCATGTATCTGCTGCTTCAGATCCTTGAAAATTTTTGTTCTTTGACTTAGGTCATTGATCACGTGGTTTGGCAGCCATATTGGATTCAAGGTTTTCACAGGTGTTTTTGGTACCTGTCTTCAAATCACGACTCCTCTGAAACCCCTTCATGAAATGCATTCAAACTTTCTGAGAATTGTCTGCATACACAACACAACAAATTGTCTTAAGCAATTTTGGATATCTTTTTTAGTTGCGGCCATATTGGATTCAAGGTTTTCACAGGGTTTTTTGGGTACCTGTCTTCAAATCCCTACTCCTCTGAAACCCCTGCATGAAATGCATTCAAACTTTCTGAGGACTGTCTCCATACACAACACAACAAATTGTCTTAACCGTTTTTGGATATCTTTTTTAGTTGCGCCTATATTTGATTTTGATTTTGATGATTTTTTTCCCCGAAATACTGAATAAATGGCTCAGAAAACCTAGGATTAACTTCCTTTCACTGTCAAGTGTCTTCTGCATTATGTATACCACCCTTGAAGATGAGGGTTAGAATTGGTCTTCAGCAACCCATGCTTGTCTTAAGAGGCGATTATCGGGATTCGAACATTGTCTGGGTGGTAAAAGGGTTTAACACTCTGGTTAACTCTGGCACACGCCAATTTCGTAGCTGTGATGTCCTGCAAACGGTGACTATCTTCTTAGGGAGTTGGTACAAGCAAATCCTTTGAAGATTCGAACATGAGGATTCAAGGTCGGAAATGGGTGACCCAAGGTCACCCATGTGGTGATGTCTCACAAGCAGTTCCCTACGTTTGACGGCGTTGGTACAAGCAAACCATATGTGGATTCGAACATGGACGGCATCTGAAATGGATGTAGAACATCTCGGGAGGTTCTGGGACGCATCAATGTCATAGCGGCGATGTCTTGCAAGCGTGTCCTTACTTTTGACGGCGTCAGTACAAGGAAACCATATGGGGATTCGAACATGGACGAGGTCGGAAACAGGTTCGGCACTTTATCTAAGCAATGCGACAGAAACTGACGAACTCGGAACGCTTATCCGTTTAACTGAAGCTCAAATGACAAAGAAGTGACAGCCTGTTAAAGAGTCACCAAGCCGAAAGGCTGAAGAGCCCTAGTGTTATCGTTCCATTTAATATTATTATTATTCCGCCGATTTTTGTACGAGAGCTAGCAGAATAACCACTGGCTCCATTATGTTCAAATTTTGTATGTGTATGAAGACCGTTGAATACTAGATTCCGCCAAAATGCCAAGGCCGTAGCCCCAATGGCCAAGGGCAGATAACTGAAAAACAAGTATTTTTTGACAACGTATTTTGCACTATTGCTCCGGAACCGCTTGTCCGATTACTTGCATGTATCTGCTGCTTTAGTTACTTGACATCTATTGTTCTTTGACTTTGGTCATTGGTCACGTGGTTTGGCAGCCATATTGGATTCAAGGTTTTCACAGTGTCTTTTGGGTACCTGTCTTCAAATGCAAACAACTTCGAGTCCACTGCATGAAATGTTTCCAAACTTTCTGATAACACATACATAACACATCAAACCTTAACGGCCAATTTGGGATTTCATTTTTAGTTGCGGCTGTATTGGATTTTGATTTTGACAAAAAAAATTCACCTGAATTTTACTCTAAAGATCATATCTTGTAAGGTTGTTGACGGAAACTATTGAAAGTTTACATTAAGTAAGTGTGCCATATGCATCTCATTTTTTGTTCTTGGTTGGCTGCTAAAGTAAGATCACTTGGTGGTGATACTTGATTAATATTTGGGACACGGTGCAAACGGTGATGATCTTTTGACAGAGTTGGTCCAAACAAACCCTTTGAGGATTCGAACATGTTCGAGGTCGGAAATTGGTTCAGAAGAAACTTAAAACACGCCTATTTCGAAGCGACGATACCCTGCAAGTTGAGCCTAAAAGTGACAGATTTGGTACAAAGAAACCCTTTGAGGATTCGAACAGGGATGTTTGTGCACAGTGTAACTTGGAGCCCGCAATTGCTGCTATGCAGCTATTATTATTATTATTATTATTATTACTATTATTATTATTCAATATACATGCATAAAAAAATAAAAATAATTATTAGTGTAAATGAATCAAAGTACAGTGTATTATTTCATCACAATAGCATATGCCAACAAATCCGTACTGAAGTATGCACTGTTATTAACAGCAACCACGGTCAGATTATGGCTATTGATGCCTTGAAAAGAACTTCAGTTGACAGAGAATGGATATACATATATATAGAATGGATATATATATCATAACTGCCATACTTTGACTCGTTGAAAGACAATTTTATTGTAGTTTGACTATTATTTGTCAACATTACATTTTCAACAGTGATTGTTCAAATTGCTCCATACGTAAAGATATCCGTCATTAGTGATCAGCTGGACCAAAGTGCTACGGTTACTAATTTATTTCAACTATATATAGTATAGCTGCAACTACAATATATATGATATTGGAATTTGCTGAACGGATGTGACTGGAAGTTAAATCATCAGTATATTTGTCACCTTATTTGCATTAACACTCTTTTTACGGGAATTCTTGATGAATTGTTGGGAGTCAAGGTTTACCCTGTACAGCTAGCAGTACATCAAGGAGCGTCAGGTCAAGGAATCACTGTATGTAATTTTGATAACATAAAAGGATGAAAAAATTATATTTTTCATATACAGATAGAACAGGGAAGACCAGATCATACTGAAAAATATAATCTCGCCTCTTTGCACAACCTTTTTTCTTTGGCAGTATCTTGCTAAGTGTTAATATGAAGTAACCAGCTTACACATAAAGCTAATATTGCCGACTACTGGCTCTACAATACAGACTACTGGTATATTCCCACTGAAAGGGGGAGAGCCAAGTGTCAAGTCCCATCAAGAGTTGGAAGGAAGGAAGGAAGGATCATGTTGTGTGTACATCTTGCATTAGTAGGGGCAAGGCCAGAAGATTTGGGGGTGAAAGTCATGAGTTATATATGCTGGCATTGGACATGGAAATAAACAAACAATCATAACACAACAACAACAAACAAACAAACAATGGCAACAATGGTGTGCATCATGCTATTTTCTCTTCTTTCTAGCTTTTACTATAACACAGTTTCAAGCAATCAAATAATACAAAATATCTTTTGATGACAGACAATTTACTGTTTTTGATATTTTGTTAGTAGTCAGTTTCCTGTATGTCTGCATAGTTTTCACTGTATCAAGTGATGATTGCCTTCGGCACAGTTGTACATGATTACACCCAGGAAGGATTGTTCTTACTGTTTAATTGGCATTGAAGAAGTTTGTAAGTACATAAGTAAATGTACATGTTACAGATGACTTCTGGTTGATTGCATTTAGTGTCCTTTTGCTGTAGATTCCTACACCTTTATCAAGCTGGAGTAAGAATGTACATCAAATCTCTAGCTTGATAACGATGCAAGTATGTACATCAAATCTCTAGCTTGATAACGATGCAAGTATGTACATCATATCTCTAGCTTGATAACGATGCAAGTATGTACATCAAATCTCTAGCTTGATAACGATGCAAGAATGTACATCAGATCTCTAGCTTGTACGATGCAAGTATGTACATCAGATCTCTAGCTTGATAACGATGCAAGTATGTACATCAAATCTCTAGCTTGATAACGGTGTAAGTATGTACATCAAATCTCTAGCTTGATAACGGTGTAAGAATGTACATCAGATCTCTAGCTTGATAACGATGCAAGTATGTACATCAAATCTCTAGCTTGATAACGATGCAAGTATGTACATCAAATCTCTAGCTTGATAACGGTGTAAGTATGTACATCAAATCTCTAGCTTGATAACGGTGTAAGAATGTACATCAAATCTCTAGCTTGATAACGGTGTAAGTATGTACATCAAATCTCTAGCTTGATAACGGTGTAAGTATGTACATCAGATCTCTAGCTTGATAACGATGCAAGTATGTACATCAAATCTCTAGCTTGATAACGGTGTAAGAATCTACATCATAATGTTGCTAAATGCAATAAACCAGAAGTTGTTATCCATGAAGATGTATCTTTTCTTGATATATTTTCTCAGCTAAATATCAACTACTTGACCATAATGGCAAATAAACAATATGTCTATTGTGCTGTTGATAAGCATGAAATAGTGTCTATATACACGTATTCCCCATCCTTCTTACAGTATGGAATAGTGTCTATATAGATGTATTCCCTTCCTTCTTACAGTATGGAATAGTGTCTATATAGATGTATTCGCCATCCTTCTTACAGTATGGAATAGTGGCTATATAGATGTTTTCCCCATCCCTCTTACAATGAAGAATGGTGTCTATATGCAAGTATTCCCCATCCCTCTTACAATGTAGAATAGTGTCTATATGCAAGTATTCCCCATCCCTCTTACAATGTAGTATAGTGTCTATATGCAAGTATTCCCCATCCCTCTTACAATGTAGAATGGTGTCTATATGCAAGTATTCCCCATCCCTCTTACAATGTAGAATAGTGTCTGTATACATGTATTCCCCATCCTTCTTACAATGTAGAATAGTGTCTATATGCAAGTATTCCCCATCCCTCTTACAATGTAGAATGGTGTCTATATGCAAGTATTCCCCATCCTTATTACAGTGTAGAATAGTGTCTACATACAACTATTCCCCATCCTTATTACAGTGTAGAATAGTATCTATATACAAGTATTCCCCATCCTTCTTACAATGTGAAATAGTGTCTATATACATGTATTCCCCATCCTTATTACAGTGTAGAATAGTGTCTATATACATGTTTTCCCCATCCTTCTTACAGTATGGAATAGTGTCTATATACATGTATTTCCCCATCCTTCTTACAGTGTGAAATAGTGTCTGTATACATGTATTCCCAATCCTTCTTACAGTGTGGAATAGTGTCTATATACATGTATTCCCCATCCTTCTTACAGTGTGAAATAGTGTCTATATACATGTATTCCCCATCCTTCTTACAGTGTTGAATAGTGTCTATATACATGTATTCCCCATCCTTCTTACAGTATGGAATAGTGTCTATTAACATGTATTCCCCATCCTTCTTAGAGTGTGGAATAGTGTCTATATACATAGTGCCTCAACCTCTTCCAAGAGCTGTTCTTGCATTCATATAAACTGTAATATACAGCCAAGTCTTGTTAATCCGACACTCATTAATCCGACAATCGGCTTTATCCGACACTAATGATGGGAACCGATTGAATCAGTGCTATTTAGACCTGTTAATCTGACAGTCTTGCACTCCGACACAACTAATTTGAAATGAATTACCGAAAGCACTCATTAATCAGTCTCGTAAATCCGACACAATGATCAGTGTACTCCGTGGTCATCTTCCCGCGAGTACACAGCCCATGTTTTGATGCGAGACGAGTCGGCTGGTAGCTGCATATTACAACGGCTGTAGAAGAAGCGGCTTTCTTAAGCCTTGCGGTACCAGTTTCAAACATCTGACTTCAATTCCAGACTATGCTTTTTAAAGTATTTTGAATAAGTCATGCAGTCCGTAACAGTTGTTTTGTGTTAAACTTTAGAGGTTGCATGATTAGAAAACATTTTCCGCCAACAATGTAACATAACAATAAGAACATAAATTTTTTTTATTACGTGTTTGAATCGATATCTATCGTATGGTTGTCTGATTTTCTATCACGAACGTTGATACTACTTAATTTCGTTTATCCGACATACATGTTAATCCGACATAATCATATGCAACCATCGGTGTCATATCAACCGGACTTGACTGTATATGTACAGGAATATGCACGCACGATTTCTCCCACTTACAATATCGTCATGTCTTTACATTATTGCATCAGTGTTATCCTAAACCAATCTCTGTCTACCTGCACCAGTAGGATGGCCAGTATGGGCTCTACTGGGTAGGAGATCGGAACTGTTTAGCCATTGTCAGCAAGGGTCACTACAGTGTTAAATGACACACAGACACTTACAGAGCTTTAACGCACCCTCATATTCTGAAGTCACTACATCGAAGATAGATCTACTTTATAATAATATAGTGACATTTGCATCAAAAGGCTTTGCAACAATGCAAGCACAGGGCTTGTGGTGTCATTGCTGGTTGAAACATAAAAAGCCGAAAAACCATGCAGAAATGTCCTAATAAAGCAAATTTAGTCAAAAGCTATGGATTCTGGAAGATCTAAGTATGTATAACAGTGTCAGCATGCAAGGTTTCTAAAAAAAAGAACACACCCAAAACCTTTAAACTTGACAGATTTTGCATATGTTTTGTCTGTGTACATGTCAGGGACTTAGGGGTGGTCATGTTAATGTCTGCTACACTATAGCTAGAGTTTGATATTTCCAAGTTCTTGGATAGTAATCCAGACCAAGCCAGGGCCCAATCCTACAGTAATCCAGACAAAGCCTAGAGTACAATCCTACAGTAATCCAGGTCATGCCTCAGTTGACCTACCGTAATCCAGACGAAGCCTAGAGTACAATCCTACAGTAATCCAGGTCATGCCTCAGTTGACCTACAGTAATCCAGACGAAGCCTAGAGTACAATCCTGCAGTAATCCAGGTCATGCCTTAGTTGACCTACAGTAATCCAGACGAAGCCTAGAGTACAATCCTACAGTAATCCAGGTCATACCTCATGTTGACCTACAGTAATCCAGACGAAGCCTAGAGTACAATCCTGCAGTAATCCAGGTCATGCCTCAGTTGACCTAAAGTAATCCAGACGAAGCCTAGAGTACAATCCTGCAGTAATCCAGGTCATGCCTCAGTTGACCTACAGTAATCCAGACGAAGCCTAGAGTACAATCCTACAGTAATCAAGACCAAGCCTAGAGTCAAGTCCTGCTATGATCCTGACCCAGGCCCGAGTTGAGTCCTGCTATGATCCTGACCCAGCCCCGAGTCCAGTCCTGCTATGATCCTGACCAAGCCTAGAGTCCAGTCCAGTATTACAGTCAGTAATCCTGCAATAATCTTGGTTCAGACCAATGTTAAGTGAAGGATACCAGCAAAGTCTGTCAAAATGCAAAGGTCACGAGTAAACAAGAGCCCCACTCACCATTGGAATCACATTGGGCACATACGGCTGGATGGCAGCTTGAGCAGCCTGGAGTTGCAGGTTTCGCAATATCAAGTTGTTCCGACCATTTTGAAGGAGCTGCTCTCTCAAATGCTGGGGTGGGTGCAGGTACTTGCAAGGAGGATCCTTCCTCTGACATTTACCCTGGAAGGAGAGCATATCACATTATCAAGCTATAGATCAAGACATTCACTTGTTAATTAATTTATTCATTGCAAGCAATTCAGTAAGACAGTATTACCATGATTATTTTGTGTGAAATGTCTGCATTAGTAGTGATTGAAACATATTTTGAAATGTGTGACGTATCAAACACAAAATCTTCATGCACGGAAGGCATCTACTTCTGAAACCGTAACACTTGTAACTTGAAAACTGTACTGTTTGTTTTTTAAGTGATTTGTCAAAACTTGCATCTAAAAAACATGCTGGTGATCAAAAAGGTAATCATCAATCTACTGAGTAAAAAGTAAATATATGATATAAGTAAATTTATATGAATTCCATTTGTTTTTGTGACAGATGTGATACAATTTGAGACATATCTACAATAGAGCTAGCATGTCTAGTGTCTAGACTGAAAGAAAACAGTTGACAGTAGCCATGTGCCAATCCTTCACAACCATGCAGGTCTCATGGCTGCTTGTAGTAATGATGTAATCAGCTGCTACTGGCTCATGCTCAAACGCTCACTATCATAAACCTCTCCAATCTGATTGATAAAGCAGAGTAACCCCTACAGTGTAATGAGAAGACGCAAGAAGACACAAATTGTAAAATGCAGTTCTGTCCAGTTTTCTTCTTACCGCTGAGAAGATGGGAATGTCAAAATGACCTGGTTGGTTGTGTCCAACACATTATGACTGCCAATCTATCAATTTTACACAAGAAGTCACATTAGGTCTGATTCTTCATGAATATTTAACATGCCCCCATCCATTCAATCAATTTCATGTTCTTTAGCAGGTCAGCTCAAGTCCTGGTAGTGAGGGAAGAAGAGAGTCAGTTCATCTGCGGGGGGGGGGGCCTGTGTTTTCCCACCAATCAATACACACGTCTGCCAACAATGATGCAATGCTAGCAAAATCATATGGCCAGATTAAAAGCAAGGAAATAGGAAGAAAAAGTCTGTCTACATTTGTCAAAAAAGATCTCCAGATTGTTCACACGATTATGACCTGGCCTGGCGCCTACTAGAAGCTGGGTACATAATCTCAGCTACAGTAGTCAATTCTAAACAGCCGTTGGGAGTCCAAATCAATTTGTCATTGCTATTTCTGCCAACAACATTGATATAATCAACATCAGGCCTTTTATCGCTGATCCTACCCAGGATAATATTCGTTTTATTTCATTCAGGGTTAAGATCAAATGGAATAGTTTCTCTACTGAAATTCCAAACTGTAAAAATAATATAATCTCATTAAAACTAAGTTAGAATGAAGATAAATCCTATCCATCAATGAATATTGTTGAAATAGACACAGGACTTTGTTGTAGTCTTCAACAGCTCATCCATAGGCATGTGTGAAGACCTGTGTCTAACATACTTGTTGTTTGCCATCAAACTTCTAGGACATAAGCATTGTTTTTTTGGTTGATTGTCAAATTTATCATACTGGAAAATAAAACTTAGAAGATAGCCGCTGTGCACTCTTACTGATGTACTCCATGATATTGCGACCCTGCATAAAACAAGCACTGTCACTAATGACTCTAACAGGTAAGACCAGTTGACAACATCCTATTAATCTTATTCCTTCAGTTTGTGGTTTTTGCTTGAACTTCCGTTACCATTGCTGTCACCAGTTGTGCATACATACCTTAAGATTTCACACCTCTAAATGTAACATTTCAAAATCTCATGCTATGTGTTAGCTTCTAACTTCAATTTAGCACTGTCAAATCTACAGGTAGCAGCTATAAATGAAAACAGCATGCTTATATCCTATCTTACTGTACGCATTTCAATATATTTCCTCTCATTTTTCATGCTGAAGCTCATGTTTGAATGCTTAGGTTTGCCTAGAATTACAAGTTCAATCCACAAAGTTTATGGTACCATTTTCCTATTAGCTATCATGACACATTAAGGAAGATGGATGAAATACAGATTGTGACCTGACAGACTATTATCTCTTTCTGAATCCAGATGAGCCACAGCAAACAAACCAGCCTCCAGCCACATGATGAGCATACAGCTTCTGGACACCGGCATGTACTCTGCTTGTCAACAAATGATATGTCACTGAGAACCACTTTGTCAAAGTACACACAGACCACTTGGTCATGGGACAATTAGTGTATGGAATATTAGCTACGGGTATGTTGGATTTCCAATTCATGGCAGCTGCAATCTTTCAAAGATGTATCATTGACATTTCCACACAATGTCTATGTTAGAGGGCCCAACTACATGTTCCTCAAGAACGGTACACGAACATCAAAAGATAAAGCTGTGTCAAACACCACAATACACAGCAAGATATACAATAATATTTGGGGGCATAGCACATGCTGCATATCAAATTTCTTAATGACACATGCAAAAATTGCTGAGTAATGGGAAAAATATGACATTTCTAACATGCTGAATAGTTTTAATTATGGCTGCTGTGGTGGCCATGTTTAAAATTGGATTGTAATTTTGAGAGCATATTTTAGAGATATGTGATTGTCCATCTAAGGGGCAAGTACATAGGCCTTGTGGTTTCAGAATTGTCAAAAATGTGAATGCTTGCTGCAAAAACAAGGGGATAAAAAACTTGATATTTTAGATAGAAGCTCTGCTGGGTCCACACTTTTTACAGGACCTCTGACTGTAATGACAAAACAGTGCTGCAAGGGAGACCCATAAAGTAAGCCTTGGGACTGCCAAGAGTGATCCAGTCTAACACTGCTATTTATAGAAAGCGTTGTTTGCTTTCATAGAAAAAAATGCTTCATCTGAATGAGTCACATCCGGCCCCAATACAACCAAAAGAATACCTTTTCATTTACCGCAAATACAAGCCTTCACATACCACAGTAAACCAGCAACACTATCATGCTCAAGACAGCTCACATTAAGCAATGACACATGGCTTGTTGTTAGGAAAATCCATGCACATGTTCCTAACACACTGTATTAGTTTTCAATTCACCACTAATGTATGCAAAATACATTATAACAAATAGAATATTGCCCCCTGCCCAACAAATGTTAACAGAAATTAACTTGGCCTTCTGACATGCTCCAATTCATAAATGCTCTATGAACAGCAAAATACATAATTTTGTAGATTTGCTGCAACACAAAATATCTTGTTCCATTATTATGATTGTTTTCAGGCATTTGCAATTTGTTCTGTCTACAAATGTGACACTCTGCACTTTATATATATTTGTAAAATGCTATAAATACATTTAACACATCAGTCAGTGTGTATAAGGCTAGGAGAATGGTGGCTAGATATAGTAACAAAGCCATCATGCATATCGATAAATGTCTGCTAGTTGACCACTGGTCAATACAGATGGAGTACTCTCCCTTAGACCTTTAAATCAGTTTCAGAGATAACTAGAGAAAATACAGCCTCTCGATGAAAGCTTTCTTTTGATCAGTGCTGAAGCATCAGACTGATCCTGGCATCCCTCTGACTGTATCAGCATCAGACTGATCCTGGCATCCCCCTGACTGTATCAGCATCAGACTGATCCTGGCATACCCCCGACTGTATCAGCAACAGACTGATCCTGGCATACCCCCGACTGTATCAGCAACAGACTGATCCTGGCATCCCTCTGACTGTATCAGCAACAGACTGATCCTGGCATCCCCCTGACTGTATCAGCAACAGACTGATCCTGGCATCTCCCTGACTGTATCAGCATCAGACTGATCCTGACATCCCTCTGACTGTATCAGCAACAGACTGATCCTGGCATCCCCCCGACTGTATCAGCAACAGACTGATCCTGGCATCCCTCTGACTGTATCAGCAACAGACTGATCCTGGCATCTCCCTGACTGTATCAGCAACAGACTGATCCTGGCATCCCCCCGACTGTATCAGCAACAGACTGATCCTGGCATCTCCCTGACTGTATCAGCAACAGACTGATCCTGGCATCCCCCCGACTGTATCAGCAACAGACTGATCCTGGCATCTCCCTGACTGTATCAGCAACAGACTGATCCTGGCATCTCCCTGACTGTATCAGCAACAGACTGATCCTGGCATCCCCCTGACTGTATCAGCATCCTGGCATCCCTCCTGACTATATCAGCATCAGACTGATCCTGGCATCCCTCTGACTGTATCAGCATCCTGGCATCCCCCCCTGACTGCATCAGCAACAGACTGATCCTGGCATCCCCCCGACTGTATCAGCAACAGACTGATCCTGGCATCCCCTTCGACTGTATCAGCAACAGACTGATCCTGGCATCCCCCCGTCTGTATCAGCATCAGACTGATCCTGGCATCCCCCTGACTGTATCAGCATCAGACTGATCCTGGCATCCCCCCGACTGTATCAGGATCAGACTGATCCTGGGATCCCCACCGACTATATCAGCATCAGACTGATCCTGGCATCCCTCCTGACTGTATCAGCAATAGACTGATCCTGGCATCCCCCTGACTGTATCAGCATCAGACTGATCCTGGCATCCCTCTGACTGTATCAGCAACAGACTGATCCTGGCATCCCCCAGACTGTATCAGCATCAGACTGATCCTGGCATCCCTCTGACTGTATCAGCATCAGACTGATCCTGGCATCCCCCAGACTGTATCAGCATCAGACTGATCCTGGCATCCCCCCGACTGTATCAGGATCAGACTGATCCTGGGATCCCCCCCGACTGTATCAGCATCAGACTGATCCTGGCATCCCTCCTGACTGTATCAGCAATAGACTGATCCTGGCATCCCCCTGACTGTATCAGCATCAGACTGATCCTGGCATCCCTCTGACTGTATCAGCAACAGACTGATCCTGGCATCCCCCAGACTGTATCAGCATCAGACTGATCCTGGCATCCCTCTGACTGTATCAGCAATAGACTGATCCTGGCATCCCCCTGACTGTATCAGCATCAGACTGATCCTGGCATCCCTCTGACTGTATCAGCATCAGACTGATCCTGGCATCCCCCT